ACATTTTAATGATAATACTTTTACTTGTGAAGTATTTGGACAGTGTCGCTTTTTTACTATGTGTGAAGCCTGAAGAAGTTTGGGAAGTGATGGAGACTTCTGTCAGCCAATCCCGAGTTGGTGGGCGGGGTTACCCAGCGCCCCGCTCACCTGACAGCCATACCGGCCGTGCGTCCTGTAGTAATCCTGTGCTGTATGTCGGTAGGTGTGATATTGACAGACATTGGAGTTTACAGCGGCTGTTCTCTCAGTGTTTCCTCCTCTGAGTCTTTGTCGATATCCTTCCGCCACACATAGCCCCGCAGAGAAAGTCTCCAGGTTGCTTTCACTGTCTGGGGGCATGGAAGTTCTGCAAAAGGAGGCGAAGGATAATCCGTCGGCTTCAGCTAATCTTCTCTCCAAGATTTTCTTCTGGTAAGAAAACCGGCCCGCAGTGACAGCCGTGTTTGACATTAATTGAATGGAGAGCTCTCTCTGTTTGTGGCCTCTCAAGACTGAGTCTGTCCCCTGAAAGTGATTGCAGGTGGCTGCTGAGCATCCGTCCACGCGTAAACATAAACCACACTGCTGCCACATGTAGGAGAGCTCAGGCTCTTTGATTATCAGTTTATTGCTTTTCTTAAATCACAACAGATCGAGTGATTCCAGGGTAGCATGGGTACCGGCTGTTGAAGTAGTTGTAACAGTGCTCTATTACATGTGAAGATATTTAAACTTTTACTTGCATGGAACTATAATATAACTTTATAATAATAACTTTGTTTGTATAGCACTTTTCTCAACATAGCCAACATGCGACAATAGTAAATTTATACAGAGAAATTATATATTATATATAAGTTTTGAAAAGTGTGATAGAGTAGAAAAAAATAAAAGGATTATTTCTAAAGAATTGACCCTTTCATTTAAATGATGTGTCAACAAAACAAGTGTTCTCAAGTGGTGGTTAAATGTTGCAGCTCATACAGGTGGACTGCTTCCATATAATAGCAATGCAATGCTGTCTTCTGGTGAAAACCTTATGTGTCCATTGTTGGGAATTTTCTTACTAAAACAAGGTTTTCATTATGACGTCATTTCAAATGTTTATTTCAGCTAGTGAACATACTCTCATATGCTTTATCTCTAGTTGGCTGAATCCTTTGTTCAGAATCGGGTACAAGAGGAAGTTGGAGGAAGATGACATGTATAAAGTTCTCCCAGAGGATTCATCAGAAAGACTTGGGGAGGAGCTACAATGGTACAGTATGGACACTGAATAATGTATGGGTGAAGGCTTGTTTACAGGGATTCTCCCAAAGTCCAAAGTAACTAAAAGGCTAGGATTCAAGAAATCTCTTTTACACAGATACAACCTTTCAAATATCAGAACAGCAGGGTTGAACGCCCCTCTTCAGCTCGATTGGCTTCCCAGCGATCTTTGCCAGTTCTTGGGGTTTTAAGAGGAACGACACCTTATGGTCACATAATAGCAGATTTGAAATATGTCAACCATGTATTTACTATTTTCTGAGGTATAGGAAACTAAACCAATTTCTCATCATATAGATATCGGCTGACACATTGGTTTCTCTTGCTAAATGTCCAGAACATGTGGCCTCTTGACAGATGAAACAAACCTGATCATCAGGTGGTCTGGTACCATGTACACTTGTGCGCATTCTAATGCTAGTACATTGTTATGAACAGTCCATGACGAGCACAGATGTCCACTAACACACAAGGTTTATAGTCAATGCCATCAAAGTCCTCTTGAAGGATAATATTAAATTGTAGGTTTGGGCATTCTCCAACACTCAATCCACCACTTAAGCAAAGGCATAGTACTCAAAACTACTATATGCAGACAGTCATAGCTTGATTCTCTTAATAAGCAGCAGTCATATTGAAATTACACCCTATTTCCACTGGGAGACAGTCCATGTGTGTAAGCAGCCAACCAGAGGCTCATGGATGTCCCCACCATTCAGCCTGGACATATTCTGAATAGGGCACAGACCACTTTGACGGAGTTTGGTGTCAGAGTTGACTTTGAACTTGGAGGTGAGCCCACCTATATATAGACAGTACTCGCATGAGAACAGGCTCCTCCCCTCACACTAATCCCACCACCTCTAGTAGGGGCTGCCACATGAGAGCTCGGTCATCTTGCTTGGCATAAAGGCAAGTTTTTTTCACTGTGTTAAATATACCATAGTCCCACTTTATGACGTTCATAGACAGGATATATGAAAGCACAGCTAGGGTGGCCAGTTTAGTGACATTATAGGAATCTGTGCTCCTGGCAGAAGATACTTTCTTTTGGCCACACTGAATAATAATTGGTATTACATACTGGAGCAGTTTACAGCTGGTCAAAATGTCAGCGGCTCCTTCGTCTGATGCCAGGGTTCTGTCCCAGGAGGAAGTGGGCCCCTGTACCACCTAGCTGAGACATAATCGATACCCAAAATAGAACAGTATGGTGAAAGTAGTTCACAGCTAAGGCTAATGATGGATGACGACCCAAACAGTTAGATACTGCAGCTACAGTAATGTGAGGTTTGTATTAAACTGTGATAGTGAAGAGCTGAGCAATAAAGCAAAGTTCTTTCTTTATAATTCATAACTACTAAACATTCAGTTTAAGGAGCAAAAAGTCAAGAAGAAAGTTCGGCGCCCTTTGTTGCGTGTCATCCCCT